CTTTCAGGCATGCAGGCCAAGGAACAATTGAGCCCTTAGGCACAGAAGCCCAAAGGTATATAGGAGCCTAATGTCCATTGATTTCAGTGTTTTACTAATAGGCTTCCCAGGCCACAAATAAGTAGACTGAAGAACGCCATAGGGAGATGAAGAGGCGGAAAGAAAACAGCTGATTAGTGATCAATATGAAACAAGCTGGTGATCATGGTCCCAATACCCATAGCATGTGTGAAAACAGGCCATGTTTTGTTGGATGTGGTCCTTGCAATGTAGAGAGTAGAGATTTGGAAAGACCACTTTGGAGGGAATTTCACCAGCCGAGACTGAGAGCCTCAAAGCAGAAGTTAACAAGGACATCAGCGTAGGCTGGATCAAAGTAAGGAAGAATTCTGATGTTATCTGGGACAATGGGATAAAGGAAGAAATAAGAGGAAAATACAGTGGGCTGAGGAACATCTCCAAGGTTCATGCCCAATCCTACCCAAGAACATATCCATACACCCTAACAGTGGCTTTTCCATCTCGTCTGGGAGGTTATTACATACGGACCAAGGAGCACAGATGTCATTTCTAGCCTGCGGTGGTCAGCAGTGAGAATGCAGCCAGCAGTCCACTTACTACACACAAAATTACATTAAAAAAAATATTAAGGTGAACAAGCCAAGCACTCAAACATAGTTAAAATTCAGATTTCTAGCCTCGAGTAAAATAACTGCTTCTCTCCCAGACAATACTGGCCCTCAGCTGTTTAAAAGGGGATGCTGGTTGGAAATCAGGGACGCAGTCCCGGAACAAGGAAGCAGGGCAAGTCAGGCCTGCCTGCCTGAAACTCATCCTGCTGAGAAATGGTCCCTGAGTTCTGGAATGCACTTTCCATGGGAGCTGGGCTAACGGCTCAGACACAGGGAGAAGGAAGGCTAGCTGGCCACTTTGTGGTGGCAAAGGATACAGAAGAGCTGGAGGTAGCTGGTGTGTTGGAGGGAGGATGACAGGATAGAGGTCTCTAAGGGTACGTCTAAACTACATGTCTCCGTCGACAGAGGCATGTAGATTAGCCAGATCGGCAGAGGGAAAGGAAGCCGCGATTAAAATAATCGCGGCTTCATTTAAATTTAAATGGCTGACCCGCTCTGCCGATCAGCTGTTTGTCAGCAGATTGGGGCAGTCTGGACGCTCCCCTGCCGACGTGAAAGCCCTTTATCGACCTCCCCGGTAAACCTCATCCTATGAGGCATAACGGGGAGGTCGATAAAGGGCTTTCAGGTCGGCGTGGGAGCGTCCAGACTAGTTCGCTGAGCCAACAAACAGCTGATCAGCTGTTTGTCGGCTCAGCGCGGCAGCCATTTAAATTTAAATGAATCCGCGATTATTTAAATCACAGCTTCATTTCCCTCTGCCGATCAGCCTAATCTACATGGCTCCATCGACGGAGCCATGTAGTTTAGATACACCCTAACACTGTTAAAGAGCAGTATGAGCCGCGTGAGAGGTCTAGAGTTCCCACCGAAGGGTGAGGGAGAAGATGACAATTATCTTCATCCTGAAATCCACCATGGATGTGCACAAAGGGGTGCAACAGGGGTGGGGAGCAAGAGTCGAGTCCAGGGCTCTGAGGTTAGCTTCTAGGTGTCCACAACACAAAATGCCTCACCACAACTGACACGCTTGTTGGCAGACTCCACAGCAACTTCAAGGACTGAACTTCAAGAATCTTAACCTTTGCAGTACCCGCTCCTGCTGCAAGCTGAGGGAAGGGGCATGAATCAATGCAATGGACATGTAGGCCTGCCTCGTCCACCAGCCTCACTATTTCATGTAGGGCAGTGATTTTGAACTGGAGCACCTGTGTCCGTGCAATCCCTACTGTGGATGCAGTTACAAAGATGCCTCTTGGGGAAAGCTCTGCCCTTTTATCCTGGAATAACTGGGGGTATGTCTACACTACCCTCCTATTTCGAACTAGGAGGGAAATGTAGGCATACCGCAATTGCAAGTGAAGCCCGGGATTTGAATTTCCCGGGCTTCATTTGCATAAGCGGGGCGCCGCCATTTTTAAATCCCCGCTGGTTCGAACCCCGTGCAGCGCGGCTACACGCGGCACGAACTAGGTAGTTCGAACTAGGCTTCCTAGTTCGAACTACCGTTACTCCTCCAGCATCTTTCTGCAGCACTGAGTCCCTTAAACAATTGTTCCATGTACAGTAGCTGGCACAAAGGATCCAATTAGTTTCCTTTCACACATTTATTAACTTCTTGCAGCCTCTCTTTCAGCAGCGTGGAGAATCTGGTAAAGTCATAATGTGTTTTCATAAACTGTAGGCAAAACATGTCCCGGTTCAAGTGAATATCTGTGCCATATAATTAGCACTGATTACACAGATATTTGGTACCGTTTTACATATTCAAATCCATTTCTTTTGTCATTTCTTAGCCAAGGCATAATTAAAGCCTCAGAACTCTCTTCCCATAAGTAGCTCTAGGACTTTCTCCTTGAACAAGTTTGCAGTTAACATGACAGCTTCAAAGAAACACTTCATTTCATTCACCTCTCTCTCTCTCTGTGTAAAAAGCTGCGATAATATGGCATGTAAATAAGTCCATGATACAGACAGAAAAGGCATTTGTCTATTCCTGGGAGAATCTGATATATTTACTGATACATCAAGGCATTAGTAACATGGATCACTTAAAATCTATTACTTAAATATTTGTCATCTTTGTGAAAAATATTAACCAATATGTAGACATTTACAGTAGTAAAAGAATTCCCCCCCCACAAAAAACAGACTGTTGTGGGGGGGGGGGGGGGGGGACAATAGAAATTGACCCTGTGCAAAATGATTCTATGTGTATATTTCGTTTCTGGTGTATCTGTCTCTATAGAAATAGGAATGGATATTTGATGAGATTATAATGCTTCTGTTAGCACCAACAGCAACTCTTTAATTAAAAAAAATCCTCATGACGCGGTAACTGAGTTGTGCTATGGAAGGGCAATACGCTGCTAGGTGGTAATTAGGTTCTGTAATAGTCTTGGGTTTTCAGAACCAGAGACAGTGGACACTAGGAGTCTGGAAGAAATGATGCATTCAGTTTCAGGAGACAAGAGGAGGAAGATGCTTGATGCTGTTCATTGCCAGCCCAGCTGGTCTCTGCAGAGCAACGGCAATAAGAACTGCATCCCAGCCCAAACGGTTACGTCGAAGTCATCAGCAGAGAAAGGGAGATGGGGCTGACAGAGGATGTTTGAAGAGTGGCTGCAGCAGAACGGGGACAATCTGACCGTGCCGATAAGATATCTGCCAAAATGGCTGCAAGTGGAGCATACTTCACAGGTATCATTCTCAAAAGCATCTTTGACAGCTGATCTGTCCTGGACTGAACGGTGCTATAATACTACTTGTCAGTAGAGCAGAGGTTTTGCAGCAAAACATTTTCATTTTTGTCTCTGAAAATGCCAATTTTTCTCAACTGATGCATATTCCCACAGAAACCTCATTAGAAAATAAATCAAAACCAAAGTTTCGGCCTTATGGGAACAGAAGATTTCACCTACAGCTATATTTAGATAGATAGATAGATAGATAGATAGATAGATAGATAGATAGATAGATAGATAGATAGATAGATAAAAGGAAAATGAAGTTAGCACTAAAATATTTTGTCTGACCAAAGATAATTTTTTTCTAAAAAATTAATTCTGCAGAAATTTTTCAAATTCTTTCTTTTTTCTCCAAATGGGAAGGAAAGCAAATGTCAAAGCAGCTAGTGGTCCTATGAAATGGAAATGCCCGTCCTGCTGGATCTGCTTGTCACTTTTCATGGGGCTTTGTGAGTGCACAGTGCTGTGTTCATTATAATCCTCCCCGGATAGCATAGGGCTATTGCCCTTGCTTCTCACACAGCAACACTGAAGGTATTTCTACAATCCAGGCTGTGGGTGCAGTTCCCTGCTCGAGGAGACGGACCAGCACTGGCTCTATCTGAGCAAGTGCTTTAAAAATGGGAGTGTAATCATAGCAATGTGAGTAGCGGGAAGGGCGGGCCCAGCATCCTGAATAGGATGGCACTTGGGGTAGCTAGCCCTTTTTCCACATTGTGCCACCATAGCTACACCTTATTTTTAGTGAGGTAGCTCGGTAGGAGTTAGCACCGCTAGGTCTACTTGAGCTAAGATCTACACCTTCCACTCTAAGTGTGGCAGTCAGACAGAAAGGTGAGGTGAAGTGCCCAAGGCTACACAGCAGACCAGCGCCAGAGCCGAGATGAGAAACTGGGAATTCCAAATGCTCTGCTATGTCCTTGTAAATGTGCATGGCCTCGTATGGCGGTTTCACCCCGTTTCTTGGTGGGCATGTGTCTGCATCTCTACAGCTGCCATTACAACTCGTCCCTATGACCTCCACCCCATAGACATACAGGTGTGACTAATCTCAGGGACTGTTCACAGTTGTCAGATTAGCAGCCTGCTTTCACAGAGAGGCTGAACTTCAAGTGAGCCTGGAGAGTGAGCTGCTCTCTTCATGCTCAAGGTGATCCCTCTGTTCAGGCCTAAGGCTCACTGGCAGGGTGCATGTGGAATCTATCAGACCACTGCCAGACTCAGACTTGGTCTGAGGAGAAACAAAGCCTAAACACGCAAGATTTCGCTTCCGGAATAAAAGGTATTTAAAATACAGCAGAACTGATTCTCTTATGCTGGTGAAAATTAGGAATAAGTCCATTGAAGACACTGCAGTTAGACTGGAGTATAGCTAGCGTGAGAGAAGAATCAAGTGTGATATCTCCAAAATCCATAGAATATTATTTTAGGTGTAACTTGGGTATTTTTCAGATCATAAGTGCTTGGTTTAGAAAGAAATTTCAATAAAATAAGAATTAGAATAACAAACTTATTATGAAGCCACAATCCTGAGGATCCCAGGGAAGTTTAGTCAGGAAGGGTATTATAAAGCAAGAGAAACAAACATAAAAAGAGATGCACTTGCTTTCTGACCTACCGTGTGCTGGAGATAGGTGCCAGTGGTCTCTCGGCTAAGGCGTTTAGCCGGTAGTAATCCAAAAACGTTCGGGCCACATTCCTCCCTAACTTCATATCTGAGAGTTTTTAGTGAAGGAACTGTTTTGAAAAGGGCTGGGGGGTGGGGAGAGACAAGCAGAGCGTAAAGGTAAATTACTGTTATTTGATGCATGAACAAGTTTTACATTAACCATCCCACAGTGCCGAAAGCGCCAGGGTAAGATCAACAAAATATGTCAGCAGCTACAGTGAGTGTCTTCTGGTTTGCTTCTTGTTTTCATAGCTGGAAAATGTGTTGTATGAAATCCTGAAGGGAAAGACACACGCCCCTTTGATTTACCTGGCGAATACCACTGGGATCTCAGCATACCTCCATCTCTCACGAGGGAAAGTAAATACCCAAGAAGTTAAATTTGGAAACTATCCAGAGGATACCCTGGTACACATTAACTTGCTCCAGGGTATCCTGCTTCAGGAAAGCAGCCACATCTCAGCAGTAGTGTGTAACCCACATGCCTCCTGGGTGTGGTATGCTGTTCCATCTAGCGGCATTGACACTGCTTACAAAGAGAATTGTCAGTCTGCTCAATAGCATGGATTAACCAGCCATGGCTTTTAGCTCATGAGATAGAGGCCCATTCACTAAGCTCCAGAGGGCCCAGGTTCAATTCTGCCCACGGATGACCTGGGTCTGTTAGCGTTACAACTGCACTTGCTTCCAGGAGCAGAGATCTAGACTGTCATGCTATGAACTCTAAATAGATCAGTATGAGTGTGTAGGTAGTTCGAACTAGGCTTCCTAGTTCGAATTTTGAAACACTAAGCTGCCTACACAGCGCCAAATTTCAAAATAAAGCACTATGCCAACAAATCCTGTTTACAGGAACACCAGAATAGCACGCCCATTATTTCGAAGTATATTTTGAAATAATGGGCATGTTTAAAGAAGTGGAATTGCTATTTTGGGATACTTCCAGTATCCCAAAATAGCCCCTCTGTGTAGACGTAGCCTAAGTAACCTCGACCTTAGCACCAGCAATGTAGTCTTCTGAAACACTGACTTGGGCTCACCTGGAGCTGACCTAGGAAGGAGCTACAGTACAGGACTGGGAGGTTCACAGCAGAGAATAATCTTTGAGATTGCGGCGGGGGAGGTCAATGCACAAAATTACCCATCAGGCCTACCAGAATGTCACCATGCTCCTTACCAAATGCCATCCTTACCATTCAGAACTAACTAAATGCTGCGCTCTCCGAGGTCCTGTCTGTCTAGCTGAGGCGTTACAGCAAGGCAACCTTTCTGAGGCTTGATCAAAATTAAACAATCCAGGATCATTTTCAAAAAGAAACCGGGACAGTGGTCGCATTGGGTAACACAATTGCCTATGCTGAGGGCCAGTGCAAGGCCTATAGAATCATAGAATCATAGAGCTGGAAGAGACCTCAAGAGGTCATCAAGTCCAGCCCCCTGCCCAAGGCAGGACCAACCCCAACTCTCCAAAGCTGGGCATGCCTTCAACACCAGGTGACTTTCACCCATTATGAATGAAACAGTTTTCATCATTCAGGGCTCTGTCATGTAAGAATTTGCTGAGGACATACAGACTGTTATGTCTGCTGACACAATTATGAACTGCTGGTCTCCAACAAGCACCTGGGCATAATCAAAGCCAAAGCAGCATATTAAAAAAAATCAAAATTCTGCTCTGTAGTATTTTTCAAGGCATCTATTGGCCAGTGACAATAACCATTTCAGTGGCCAATGAGTTGGGAACCAGATGGCATCTCATCATACATAACCTGATGAATCTTTAATTCGCCACAACACACATTCTATTGTCGCTGTTTCATGCCATTTTCCTTTGCCACGACAGAAAAAAAAACCACAAGCACTTTCTGTGTTATTTTTAAAAATGGTATCTGCTGGTGCTTCCATTAGAAAGAAATTCCAGAACTGCAACACATCAGGAGTTTTCAAGTGGCTTGTAGAAAGATGCCAGCTTATAATTGAAGTTTTCTTATTTCCTCATTCCCATTAGGGAATCAAAACAAATGAGATTTAGACTTCGGGTTCGTGCAGCCTGATGAGAACTCTGGTTTTTTTTTCTAGAAAGGGGGAAAGACTAACATAGGGTCTGTGACTCTGTGACTGGGAGGTGGAAAATGTTATACACAGATGTGATCCTGAGAGTCAATTAGCAAAGGTCTAGCTGGAATAAGTGACCCTTGATGACTGCTCAGAATTGCAATCCAGCCAATGCTGGATTGGAGCTCCCTTGGATAGTTTCCAGAGCTTCGCCTGGCAATTTTAAGTGGCTCTAGAATTTCTCCTGAAAGTCTATTTCACAGGCCTCCTGCACAGGAATTTTATGCTAATGTTCATTGTAACGGGGCTAGGCCCTAAGTTCAAAAGGGCCATAGAGAAGTCCTCCAGGCAGCTAGAGTGGCTGGAAAGAAACCAGCCAATCAGGGGCCAGGAGGGACTCCGTAAGAAGCTGCAGGAGTCGAGGCAGCTCAGTTGCATCCCAGATCTAGAAGGGAGACGGTTGGGGTGGCGGAACCAAGGACAGCTCAGAGTGGGGAGCTGTTAGAACACTCTTCAGGAGGAGAAACCCTGGAGGTACCACTCTCCTACTGAGTGGGGAAACAGACTGAGGGTGCATCTACACAGTGGCACTATTTCGGGATAATGTCTATTTTCCTGAAATAACGTTCTGCACTGTCTACACAAGAAGCCCATTATTTTGAAATACATTTGAAATAACAGGCATCTTATTCTGGCTTCCTGTAAACCTTGGACAGTACTCTATTTCAAAATAAGCTCGAAATAAGCTACTCAATTTGCATAGGTCAAATTGTGCAGCTTATTTCAAGCTAGTGTCGCTGTGTAAACGCACCCTAAGAGAATGGACTGAACTGAGAGACTACAGGGGATGCCGGAATGGACCCCTGGTAAAGTATATATGGCAAGATGGCGAGTGCCACCCCCTTACATTCATCATGCTGTGGATAGGTTAATTTGATTTACCTTGCGAGTGCCACTGGGATCTCAGCATACTTCCATCTCTCATGAGGGAAAGTAAATACCCAGGAGGCTTATCCTATGGACTCTGTTATGTCACTCAGGAGAGTCAGAAGAGAGAATACACACAATATATATCTGTGAGTATGCATGGGCCGCGGGGGTGTTACCCGTGTATACAATAGTCAGCCAACAAGAAAAGTAGCATCACTGCAATATTAGGTACATTTTCTTGAATTCTGGCTACATAGTACAGGGATTGTGTCTGTATATGCATGGAAGTGTGAGGTTAGAGAGTCAGAACATCCTGTCACCCCACAGAAGCACCATCTTTTGGGAAGAGTTTTGTCCTAGTTACTGGAATTTGGGAACTATTGGGAGTGTTTATGAGTCATTCTGCAAATGCTGCACTCAAACTAAATGAATTCTTTGCTTCAATCTTCACGGCTGAGGATGTTAGGGAGATTCCCAAACGTGACCCATCCTTTGTAGGCGCCAAATCTGAGGACTTGTCACAGATTGAAGTGTCATTGGAGGAGGTTTTGGAATTAATTGATAAACTTAACAGTAACAAGTCACCGGGACCAGATGGCATTCACCCAAGAATTCTGAAAGAACTCAAATGTGAAATTGTGAAACTATTAACTATGGTTTGTAACCTATCCTTTAAATCAGCTTCTGTACCCAATGACTGGAAGATAGCTAATGTAATGCCAATATTTTAAAAGGACTCTAGAGGCGATCCTGGCAATTACAGACCAGTAAGTCTAACATTAGTACCGGGCAAATTAGTTGAAACAATAGTAAAGAATAAAATTGTCAGACACATAGAAGAACATAATTTGTTGGGCAAAAGTCAACATGGTTTCTGTAAAAGGAAATCATGTCTTACTAATCTATTAGAATTCTTTGAAGGGGTCAACAGACATGTGGACAAGGGGGATCCAGTAGATATAGTGTACTTAGATTTCCAGAAAGCCTTTGACAAGGTCCCTCACCAAAGGCTCTTACGTAAATTAAGCTGTCATGGGATAAGAGGGAAGATCCTTTCATGGACTGAACTGGTTAAAAGACAGGAAACAAAGGGTGGGAATAAATGGTACATTTTCAGAATGGAGAGGGGTGTTCCCCAAGGATCAATCCTAGGGATCAATCCTATTCAACTTATTCATAAATGATCTGGAGAAAGGGGTAAACAGTAGGTGGCAAAGTTTGCAGATGATACTAAACTGCTCAAGGTAGTTAAGACCAAAGCAGACTGTGAAGAACTTCAAAAAGATCTCACAAAACTAAGTGATTGGACAACAAAATGGCAAATGAAATTTAATGTGGATAAATATAAAGTAATGCACATTGGAAAAAATAATCCCAGCTATACATATAATATGATGGGGGCTAATTTAGCAACAACGAATCAGGAAAGAGATCTTGGAGTCATCCTGGATACTTCACTGAAGACGTCCATGCAGTGTGCAGCAGCAGGCAAAAAAGCAAACAGGATGTTAGGAATTATTAAAAAGTATCTAAATCCATGGTACGCCCACATCTTGAATACTGTGTACAGATGTGGCCTCCTCATCTCAAAATGATATACTGGCATTAAAAACGGTTCAGAGAAAGGCAACTAAAATGATTAGGGGTTTGGAACCGGTCCCATACGAGGAGAGATTAAAGAGACTGGGACTTTTCAGCTTGGAAAAGAGAAGACTAAGGGGGGATATGAAAGAGGTCTATAAAATCATGAGTGGTGTGGAGAAAGTGAATAAGGAAAAGTTATTTACTTGTTCCCATAATATAAGAACTAGGGGCCACCAAATGAAACTAAAGGGTAGCAGGCTTAAAACAAATAAAAGGAAGTTCTTCTTCACACAGTTCATAGTTGATCTGTGGAACTCCTTGCCTGAGGAGGTTGTGAAGGTTAGGACTATAACAAGGTTTAAAAGAGAACTAGATAAATTCATGGAGGTTAAGCCCATTAGTGGCTATTAGCCAAGATGGTGGGTAAGGAATGGTGTCCCTAGCCTCTGTTTGTCAGAGTGTGGAGATGGATGGCAG